ATGGTGGGTGAGCTTAGCCTGTCCCCCACAGCTCTCTTCAATTGCGAGACATGAAAAACTGGATGCACTCGGCATCCCTCAAGTAGTAGCAATTTGTAGGCCACCTTTCCAACTTGTTGAACCACTTCAAATGGCCCATAGAATCTCGCAGCTAACTTCGCAAAGGGTCACTTGGCCAAGGAACGCCGTCGGTAAGGTTATAACTTGAGAAACACGAAGTCCCCCACCTGAAATTCATTATCCCTCCGCTTCCGATCTGCATTATCCTTCATAATCTACTAAGCCCGTATCAAATTGAATTTTAACTCATCGAGCATCAAATCCCTTTCCTGTAACTTCTCTAAACTGCCAACAGGAGTGTGAAGTGCCCATCTTGATTAATTTGGGTGGTTCCCTACCGTACAAAACTCGAAATGGCGACACCTTGGTGGAAGAGTGGACTGAGGTATTGTAAGAATACTCGGCCCAAGCAAGCCAAGTAGCCCAAGATTTGGGTTGTTCTCCGGCAAAACACCAAAGGTACGTCTCAAGTCCCTTGTTCACCACCTCGGTCTGCCCATTAGTCTACGGGTGATAGGCAGTGCTACGCCGGAGGTCGGTACCCTGAAGGCGAAATAACTACTTCCAAAACACACTCAAGAAAACTCTATCTCGGTGAAACTATGCTCCCTGGGAACCCGTGCAAACAGACCACCTCTTTCACAAAGGCATCGGCCACTGTCACTGCCGTGAAGGGGTGTTTCAAGGCAATAAAGTGAGCGTACTTGATCCGGCACCGGCAAGGGTTGCTGTTGGGAGTGCTTGTTTCGTTAGCAGACGATGCATCCCCTCACATAATTCTTGACATCCCTTCTCATTCCCTTCCAAAACCACTCCCTTGACATACGCTAATATGTTTTAATTTCTCCGACGTGTCCCCCTTCCGGTGAGTCGTGGTATGCTTGTAGGAGAGTTGTTTTGTACTCGGAATTTTATGCAGCCACCACTCGGCCTTTATACACCAGTCGGTGGTGGTCCAGGCTCTTCGCCCTTCAAGAGGGTCTCTTTAATCTTTCTCAGCCCTTCATCCCGCTCAATTTCACTCTCAATTCGGCCCCAATCCACCGTTTTCTCAGAGGCGACTGAAACTAGGGCACCCAACTCTGGTTGCCCTCCCCTTTTCGAGAGAGTGCGTCAGAAACCCCCAGGCCTGTAGTGGATCTCGAAATCAAACCCGATCAACTTCCTCCTCTTGATAGTCTGTACCCACCTCTCGCTGCTGAGTCAAGAACCATAGGCTCTGTTACGGCCATTAGTTCTTTCTCGTAGATGGATTTGCCCCTACCTACCGGACCCAACACTACTGAAAAAGGCAATACGGCAGCACTCTTGCATTAACACGGCCCCTAGCCCGAAACCCGAGGCATCGCCTCCACGATGAACACCTTTTGAAAGTCAGGCATGGCGAGTACGGGGGCAGTAGTCATGGCCTTCTTGAGGTGGTCGAAAGCTTTGTCAGCCTCATCTCCCCACTTGAAACTGTCTTAACGGCTATGTGGGCATAGGAAGCAATGAACTTCCTATAATATACGATAAAGCCCAAAAAACCCCTCAAGTCCCTTAATGTTTTTGGCTTGGGCCACTTGGTCATGGATATAATCTTCTCTGGTTAATAGCCACTCCATGCTTAGATATGATGTGGCCCAAATATGCCATTTCCTTCTTACCCATTTTACATTTCTTACGGTTTGCAAACAATTGCTGATTTTTCAAAGTGGACAATACCACTTGCAAATGCTTAACATGTTCTTCCTCATTAGCACTATACACTAAAATATCATCACAGAAAACAAGAACAAAATTTACGTAAATAAGGTCGGAATACCTCATTCATTAAGGATTGGAATGTGGCGGGGGCATTGGTGAGGCCGAATGGCATGACAAGGAATTCATAGTGGCCCTCATGGGTTAGGCACATCCTCGGTTCTCACTCGAATTTGGTGATAGCCGGCCTTAAGGTCGAGTTTGGAAAAGACCCTAGCTCCACCCAATTCGTCTAGTAGCTCGTCGATAATAGGGATAGGGTATTTTTTGGGGACAGTTTCTTTGTTGAGTGCTCGGTAATCGACGCAAAAGCGCCATGATCCATCTTTCTTCTTCACCAAAAGAACCGGGCTTGAGAAAGGGCTAGTTAATGGTTGGATTATGTCGGCCTCAAGCATCTCAGAAATTAAGGGTATTGATACAGTCGGACGCTCACGGGTTGCTACCGTCCTTAAGCACTGTAGCGTGCTCATGGCCCCTCGAAGGCGGTAACCCACTCGGAGCTTCGAAAACTTCTGGGAACTCTGCTAATACTCTCCACGCGGAGTGTCTCCCTCTTGGTTTCGCTCCTCCTCCTCCATTCTCCCCGTTTCCGCCCCCTCTTCCATCGTACTAAGCTCCACCAGTACTCCCCCTCTCTCTTTCCTGAATGTTCGAACCATTGCTTTCAAAGTGATCCCAGTCCGAGCTAAAGAAGGATCCCCCCTCACCATCACTTTTTTTCCTCCTAGCACAAAGCCCATCTCCTGTGTTTTTCGATTAGTGAGAATAGTGCCCAATTTCTCCAACCATTGGATGCCAAGTATGACATCAGAATTGCCCAATTGCAATGGCAGGAAGTCCTCTATAAGCTCCACTTCTTCGTTTAGCATCAATCTCACATCTTTGCATAGCCCGCAGCCCTTCACCGACTCTCCGTTCCCTAACGACACCCCAAAGGCGCCCTCACAGTGATCGGAATTCCTTACCTCTCCACCGTGTGAAGAGAGAGGAAGTTGTGGGAGGCCCCTGTTCAACCATGACCACCACAACCGCGCCCTCAATTTTCCCCACCAATTTCATTGTTTTTGGGTTTGTGAGTCCCACAATTTAATTTATGGAAATCATTGCTAGTAACTCTTCTTCCTCCGGCGATTCTAAGGCCTGCAACTCGCCTTCCGCCTCTTCTTCGTCCTCCCCGTCCACCAACAGTACACTCAGCCCCTTGGACGCGCACACGTGTCCAATTCCCCACCGGCCATCGCACCTGAAACATAGCCCTCAAGCTTTCTTGTCCTCCAACTCTTTCTAAGTCAGCCTTCTAACTTGTCCGGTGAATCGAGAAGATGATGGGTTGGTTCGTGAAGTATAGGTGGGTTGGTTGGTGACTGATCCAATGGAACTCTAGGCAAGGCTTTTGATTTGGGAAGAGTTGGCTATGTGGTTTTGGGTTGGATTAGGTGTTGGGTTTTGTGTTTGGGCCGGTTGACCAGGTTTGCTAAAAGCCCCACCCGTCCTTCTTAACCCGCTATCCCGGTTTCTCTCCCCCGAGTAGCCAGTCCATGGCATGTTCTAGGGTAAGTGAGTTCAGCATGCGGATCTCAGCCCAAATTTCCTCTTTAAGGCCATTCACGAACTGTCATCTGGAATATCTTCCAAAGGAGACGCCTTCTCGATGAACGCGCGTCGGTACTCCGCTGGTGGTGTGGCTCACCGCCAGCCATTGCTCATGTAATGTCCCGACGTTGATCGGTCGAAATTGTCCCTGCACACGCCTCTTCAGATCTTCCCACCCTTGTACCGGTCGGCGGCAACTCTCCCACTAATACCACCTTAGAGCGTCGTTCTCCATGGAAACTACCGCAGCCTAAAGCTTCTCATGTTCACCCAAGTTGTAGAATTTGAAGTACTGCTCACCTCTCAAGATCCACGTGTCGGGGTCGGATCCGTCAAATAGGGGCATGTCGAGCTTACGGTATTTCCAATTTCCCCGGCCATCGTGACACTCGCCGCTCTCCAAGCCCATAATTCTGGTGTGGCCCTCCTTCCCAATCGAGGCCTATGCCTAAATTCCTTCTCGGATCGCCGCCACCGCCACCCCCGGCGCCAGAGTGCTCCGCCTCATCTTCCACTATGATCGGCTGTTTTTGCCTATCCTTCAAGGATGTCATAATCCCGTGATCTCGTCGAAGAATTTGTCTTGGTTGCTTTTTAACAAGGCGGCTTGTTGGTTGTGGTCATCCCGAAACCGGTTGAGCCTCCCCTCCAACTGCTGGCCCTCGGCGGCCTCCTGTTGGTGAACTGTTCCGACAAAGACTTTTGGAAAGCCTCAATACTCTCCGCGACCGTCTTGGTTAGAATGTGTTGGATAGAGTTCTCTCCTCCGTCCACCTTCGACACAACCTCGATCAAGTGTCCTTCTAACGCTTCGATGCGCTGCGTGTTTGTACCGGACGCCGGAGCCATGAATGCTCTAATACCAACTGCAATGAACAGCGCCCTTAAGAGACTAAGGAGGAGCAAGAACACAAATTCAGGGAGAGGACGGTTGGTTAATTGATAGATAAATAACCGAAAGGCTCGAGAACAAGCAATGACTTTAGGCCATTAGTCTCCAAGAGTTTTCAATACAATTGTCTAAATGCCCTTCTCCTCTTCTTAGATTACTACTTATACTACCCTTCTTACTACATGACATGGCAATAGCCTTACTTGTTACAATAACTATTTCTTGTCCTCTTCTAAAAAGCAAAAGCAAAGTAAACTAATAAGCCAAGAGTGGCAGTGTGCAAGTAGCTTAAGGTTGGGCTTGCGAGTGTTGCGGGTTGGCGGTGTTTCCCTGCTGCTGGTTTTGTCTTTGTCCCCTCTGCCTTCTGCTGTACTGGTAACGAATGGGAGGTGTATGGTGGTGCATTGCATGTTGACTGAACTACACCTGAACACTATGTGTTTGACTGACCAATTAGATCTGTTGTCTTTATGTTCTCTATACATTATTGAGGGTATGACTTTGATTGGGCTCATAGAAAACAATCAAGGCCACATGTAGGCTACATCAAAGATACGAACAACAATTCCACCAAAACTGAAACATAAAAATGCAAAGATATAGCCAGGAAGAGGTGAAATAAAGGAAATGTCCTTAAGCAGCAATCCCATTATATTACATAAGCTGACTTAAACGTTAAAGGAAGGTAAGGCAAGAACAAGGAACAGACCATAATAATGTTGATGATGAAACCTGTTTGATAGCCACCTAATCTCCATTCTCCAAATCCAAACCCTTGTATGAAAGACCAAAGGCTCCTTTTCAATTTTCATCTTCGGGCACCTACACAATACATACAAAGAGATATTAATATATATCGAAATAGAGAAGAAAATACAATTGCAGATAAGCAGCAATTAAATACAGGCAAAGCCCTCGTCTTTCAATCATGTACATCCAATTACCCCAAATTCAAATTATACGGGAAACTCAAGAAGATTTTATACAAAATAAATCACTGGAACTGTTATTCACTTATTCAGCACATAACAAGGCCTAAACCTAAATATTGATCCACTTCTTTTAATCCCAAAAACCGGCAGATAGCAAGCTCCTCTTAGACACGAAGCTCGATACCGTATCATCCTTCCATTACAAGAAGAATTAAGGCTGAATCCACCTTCCTTCATTCAATTGATAAACTTCCTCCGTAAAAACAAAATTGTTTTCATAACTAAACACATAAATCTGTTTAACATAAACAGCATTAAAAGTGCAACTAGAAATAAAAAGACACAAATATTTACAGGCATTAAATCAATTTCTAACATGCTCAAAGAAAAAACAATGGCCAAAATTCAATTTTCACATTAAAATTGCATTAAAATTACACATGAAAATTTCCGAAAAGAAACACCAAACTTGTATTTTCATAAATCAAATCAAACAACCTTCTGAACTAACTATATTAGACTACTACGGAGAAGTTATCAGTAGAAAAATCCTAAACCTAATCACTAAATACAGAACAAAAACCATATTAAAAAATTTTTAAATTATATAGAAATGAGAAATATTGGCTTACATATTTATCGTCGAAACCTAGAAAATCCACGAACTAAAAATATAAAGTGAGGTGGGGTTATGTCCTATCTACTACCTCCGTTAATATTTATGCGCAACTTTTACTATTTTTGTCCGCTCAACATTATGTGTAATTATTCAAGTTTTTTTCCATTTTTAGTAACTTTTTTGATGTTAAATTAAATGACCGAAATGCCCTCACTAAAAAATTAAAAAAAACTGGTTATGAGGTTAATTAAACAACCTTTTTAATCTAATCTAAAATCATTAACCTAATTCTACCCACCCCATTTACTCATCTCCTCGTCTACCCACCACCCATTTATCTCTTTCTTCAACCTCTCTTTCAACCTTTCACCCTCTTCATCTCTTTCAACCTCTTCATCCCTCCTCCTTCACGAGTCACGACCACCGCCCCTCCCACCACCATTCTCTCTCCTCCTTCACGACCACCTTCCATCCCACCACCGTCTTTCTCCTCCCTATGATCACAGCCCTTAGCTCCCACCACCGACGAACGATCCCCTTCATCTCTCCTCCCTCACAAGTTTCAGTTAAGATGATGTGCGATTATCGATAATATATAGGAAGATGATGTGCGATCTAGATTCATTTTATCTTTTTTTTTTCAATATTGTACTTTTTTCGTTTTTTTGGTGATTTATGTTCGGATATTCTGGGTTTTGTTCGATTTTTTGAGTTTCGATTTTCTGGGTTTTGATTTCGATTTTTGGGTTTTGATTTCGATTTTCTGAGTTTTAATTTTCTGGATTTTGATTTCAATTTTCTGGGTTTTTATTTTCAAGGTTTGATTTCGATTTTCTAAGTTTTGATTTTCTGGGTTTTGATTTCGATTGAAGGTGATGATGATGGTGGAATTTTTGGGTTAGGGTTCTAGGGCGTGGGTTTTAGGTGTTTTAAGTGACAATTTCTGGGTTTTTGAGTTTGGGATTTCTGGGTTTTTAGGTTAGGGAGGGGGCTGTCGGAAAAAGGAGGGAAAGACGAGGGAAGGGGTTGCCGAAAAAGGGAGGGGACGACGAATGAGGAGTTGTTTGTTTGGAGGTGGTGGCCTGGGTTTTTTTGGGTGGTACGGTGGTGATTTTGTGTGGATGGTGGGTTTTCGTGAGGGTGGTGGTGGTTTCGTGGGGTTGATAGTGGTGGTGGTTTCGTGGGGGTGGTAGTGGTGGTGGTGAAGGCGGCGGCGGTGTTGGTGAAGGCGGTGTGGGTGGTGTTGGCTGGTCTTGGTGGTGGCAATGGGTGGTTGATTAATTATCCAAACATTCTCTCTCCACCTTAATTACATACCACAAGTTCCTTAACTTTCTCTAATCTTTGTCCCTCAAGTTTTGCTTCGTAAACCGCAAACCCCTACAAAGTTGCACATAAATATTAACGGAGGTAGTATAAAAAATTTCACTTTCTCAAATTACCCCTCAACTTAAAATAAAAAAAATAAAAAAAATTTAAAAATAAAAATAAATAAATAAACTATTATTGTATCCTACTTTTATTTTATTTTTTTGAGGAAAATTATTGTATCCTAATTTTGTAGGATAATACAATTATACAACTAATTATTAAACCCTTTTTTAATTACTCAATAAAAAAAATATTACTTCGTATATGACTTCCGCAAATATTTTTATTAATAATAATTTTTTTAATTAATATTTTTTTTATCAACCGTTTATAAATTTGCACCCACTTATTTTTTTTAATTAGAATAAAGAGGAGAATGGTGCCTATCAAATTTCTTATATAGCGCGCACACACACATTGCTTGTGTTTCTTAACTTGTGAGGGATAAACTGAGACATAAAATATTTAAACTAATTAAATGAAAATAAATAAAGTAAAATAAAATAAAATAAAGAGACACAAAACAAAAAAAAAACAAAAATAAAAGCAAAAATAAATAAAATTATAATAAAAATAATAAAAGCAAATAAAATATGAAAAATATTCTAAAAACTAATCAATAATAATAATAACATAATACTAAAACAGACACCGAGAATGACACATGTCACTTCCTGGTATCGTTTTTTCCCTCCAAAAATCCTTTTCTAAAAATAAATATATTCTAACTTTATTTTTCTTTTTATTTCTTATTGATTGACAACTTATTTAATTAAGCTAATAAACTTATAATTCGTATATATTTAATTTATATATTATAAATATCTTATTACTTATATTAATTAATGTTATTCTCGCGATAAAAAAATATTAATTTTATTTGCGGGTTTTTTTTTCTTGATATATTACAATCATATGGATTTAATTTATAGTACAAAATAAAAAATAAAAAATAAACGTTATATTGCATCAAATTGACTTTAACACATGTATCTATAACTATAACTATATATTATAATAAAGGTGAAACCAGAAATGACATATGTTATCTCTTTTTTAAGTTATTTCGCGCCTTTTTTTTTTTTTGCCAAATCTTCCTAGAGAATATTAAATACTATGCAATAATATTTCCCTTACTATTTGGTAATTATATTCCATTTATAAACATCCAACAAAATATTATTTGTTTATTTAATACTACGCAATAATATTTTCCTTCATATAACTTTGTGACGTAATCAATAATTATTTTATTAGTCGTGCATGTAATACTTCCACTATTTTCTTTAGTATGATATAATTTTATTTTTATTTTTGTAATTACGAATTTTATCATATTTAGCAATTTGATAATTATTGTAAATAAATATAGTGTTAAATTAATAGAGAAAATACAAATTTATCTCCTTGATGGCAAAAATGTAAATAAATCAACAACATTTTGTCATATATGGGCCCCATAGTGTTTGATTTATTTGCCATGATGACTAGACAAAATGGCAAAAATGTAAATAAATCAACAACTTTTTTTGTCATATATGGGTCCCATAGTTTTTTATTTATTTACCAAAATGTCATGATGACAATATAAAATTATTGATTTATTTACAATTTTGTTACTTGATAAACAAATTTGGTTTATTAAGGAGATAAACTAGGACTTCCTCAAACTAATAGTAATAGATAGTGAAAATTACCGTGCATGGCACGGGACCTAATCTAGTTAAATCTACAAATTAGTCTAAAACATGCTAAAATTTCCAAATAATTTAGAAACTAGAAAGGGAAAATTAAGAAAAAAATTAACACGAAAGTATACCAATAGCTACTCCTAAGAGCAACATAAATGTCACTCATCAAATGCATGAGAAGTATGAGAATCTACCACCTTTATTGTTAAACATATAGATCAACCTTTTATTATATCTTGGTATTACGGCACCTTTGGGGGTATTTATTTTAAACAAGTCAAAAAGTTTATAACCTGGTGAACAAGTTAATCTTAACACATGTAACTATATAATTGGTCCAACTTTTAAACAAGTTAAAAAGTTTACAACCCAATAAACAAGCCAATCTTAACACATGTCACCATATAATATTGGTCCAACTTTTAAACAAGTCAAAAAGTTTATAACCTGATAAACAAGTTAATCTTAACACATGTCACCATAAAATTGGTCCAACTTATTTAATTTTAATATAATTTTTTATAAAAAAAAAAAAAAAAAAAAAAAAAAAAAAAAAAAAAAAAAACTCCCTTCCCCTTATGTAGGGGTACGGGGGCAATTCAGATCAATAAGTTGGGTTCTTGTCAGAGTCAAGTCAACTTTGGATTTTAGTAACAAATTATCAAAACTAGTGTAAAACTTAATCTTAATACGAAATATGATATTTAATTCAAATCAGGTTGAATTCAGGTTGTTCTGGTTCGATTTAGGTCAAGTTCATGTTTCTCTCATTAACTTCAGGTCGAGTCACGGATTGCCAACCCTACCCCTATGTGTTTCCCTTACTCTCCTCTCCTCCATGGCTGTCGTCATCTTCCTCCTCCCTCTATGGCCACCACCAACCCTAGCTTTCTTCTCTCATTACCCTTCCCCCTCTCTTTTATCACCAATTTCTTCCTCTCTCTCCTCTAACTTCAACAGCGCCACCACAAACACCACCAACAACAATCTTTAGCCCTCTCTTTCTTTTTTCTCCCCTTTCTTCCCATATCAACCCCTAGAAAACTTGCCGCACATCCTTTAAACACACCATCAAGCAACCCCTTCTAACACCGTATATAGATTAGTGCTGTGAAGATGGTTATGGGTCGGTTTGGTTTGAGGTGATAAAAATTTCGGGTGGGGCCGAGCCTTAACACCAAATCTCATGCCCAATCCTACAAAAAATGGTGGGCTTGTCGAGGCAAAGCAGGCTTTTTGGGTCGGGTTTAGATCTTAACAAAAAAAGTATTTTTTGGCTTGCCTAAACTTGCCCTTTTTACGGGTCAGATCAGACCGGCCCATAGTTGACCACCTTATTGGATTGCCACAAAAGAGAAATAAAGGAAAGGAAGAAGAGGACTACAATAGGAGGTTTGACTGTGGCTTAGCGCCAACAAGGGTCAGGGAATCTAAGCGTTGGTAGCGGCACATTGTTGAGGAGAAAGAAATGAGGATATGAGAGTAAAAGACAAGAGGAAACAAGGCCGCGAGAGGCGAATGTGTTGTGGTCAGAGTGTCTACATTGAGAGGGGGGGTCAAAGGGGAGGCATCTGGCTAGTGATGGTTAGTAGGCGTCGCGCGATAATGGTTGAGTTTAAAGATGAGATAGAATATAGAGGGAGTTGGGCAGCAAAAGCGGGATGACGGTTTCAGCTGTAGGGAAATTAGTTGAACATTTGAGAATGGAATTAAGGAGTACAATTCAAACAAAAAATAATTAAAAAAACCTTGGCCTAAAAAGAGATAACACAATAAATGAAGGTGGAAATATGATAGAGAGCTAGTATTTGGGCCCAAGCGATTATTGCTCCGAGTCATTGTCACAGGCTTGGTAACATAAAGTATGGCATAACTTTCTGTAATACCCTAAATTTTCTAACATTGAGTTCCGGGGACAAAACTTATTTTAAGGAGGGTAGATTGTAACACCCGATATTTTACAATTTTATATAATTTTTTTATTGAAAAAAAATGTAATTTTTAATTATTAAATAACTTTTCTAATCTACATAATTGTTTTTATTTATTAGTTCGAAAAGTTTTAAACCCTAGTTTATATCTAATAGAACTCTTGTTTACGAAACTATAAATACTTCTTATACACTAATTATTTTCAGCTTTGCCTCCGCTTACTCCAACTTTGTACTACGTGGCTTATATGATATCTGCAACAAATAAAAAAAAAATAAAATAAAAAAAATCTCGTGAGTTTACTAATTTTGCCATTAACAATGATGATGCAAACCAAATCATCAAGTGGATTTTCTAAAATCAGTCAACCCTTGTTTTGGTGCGCATGAATAAGCATCTCATATTCATGAGATTATATAATACAAAGTGAAAGAAAGTGATGTTCTCCTCGTCAAGAAAAACGAATCTTTGTATCTTATAGGTTCAGATTGTATGTCCGTAAAAGTAAATCACACGAAGCTTTAATTGGAGATGTTTGTGTTTTACTTTGTATTATTATGTGCAAATTTTATGATTTGTTATTTATATGATGATCAAGTTTTGTATATGTATGGTTAATATGTGGTATTATATGATTTTAACTATCATATTATGTTTGTTGTAATTGAATGTGTTATTATATTTCTAGGTTTTAATGTTGTTGCTCTAGCGAATATATATTATTATATTGATGTTTTAGGATTACTAATCACATATTGGGTTGAGATTTATTA